CTGTCCTTTAGGAATATATATATAATATTTTAATGACCATGGTCTGGCCACATGTTTGCTTCATAATGTTGGCATGCCCTGTATGGGCAAACAAGTGACTGTTTCATGGTAGACACAGATTTTTGTAGACTAATGAAAGTGTACCACGCAAAGTGTACCAGAGTGCTGTACTAATGGATGGCCATGGAGGAGAGTGAGCATTCTAAAGGACCTGGTTTATTGTGACACACCTTTAAATATTCCAGATTACTTTACGACTCAGTCACATGACAGCTCAGACCCACAAAGGAAGCCGGTGCCGGAAGACTTCCATCTGCCAGATCCTGCTATCACAGAACAAAACTGGGAGCAGGTAGCTGTATAACGCCCAGCATCAGTCACTGACTTCAGATCCAGTTATGATCGATGTCTGAATAGTGAAGTATCTCCAGTCAGGGCCATCAACCAAACATAGCTTATTAGTATTGGCCAGGGTGCAAATGACCTTCCCCCATAGAGGCACTACGGGCCCAATCACACCAGCCCACATGCATTATGTATATTAGGGTGCGTTGTGTAGGGGCAATGAGATGCATGGTTAAATTTTTTGATCAAGGCACCTGTGTGAATGACCCCTAAAGAACATTCTCCATGATCTGTTTACGGCCGGATTAATGAACGATAGTATGATGCAGATCCTAACTGTAGCAGATATCTGCCTGAGCCTGAGAGCCAAGTTGGAGTTTTCCTAGCCAATGCCTGGAGATAGGATGTCATTGGGTGTGTCTGTAGAGTGCCTCTCCTTCCCACTCCATAGACACACAAGCACACTCCTTAGCCCGATGCAAACATGCATATTTACACTCTGATCTTTTGTTAAAAAGATAATTTGGATCATGAATTCCTGTAGGTAGTTTAAGGTCGTTCGGAGTCAAGAGAAGCCATGCCCTGTCTGTGCCTGCCCCACTGAAGGTGAGTGACTCACAGGATTTTAAATTCTGCCATATGGGTACAATATATAGTATACACATTGTAATTTCAAGTTGATCTCTAGGCAGATATAAAAGACACAGAATAGGTCCATTCACACCTGCAATTAGGGCTGAATGCGAATTCTGGTGGTTAGATGTTAGTGCTCGCCCAATCAGTTGGGGCCGAAGCTGGACGTAAACAAAGGGGGGGGGGATGCTGGTGATATCATTGACCTTACATGGTCACATGACCACATTTTGTCAATTACATTGACCTAATATGGCCATGTGGTTATGTGCATTGCTCTCATAATACTATAATTCCCATGACACATTGCACCTCCCTATGGTACTGTGCATGCGTCGCAAGTATTACTGGTCCCGTAACCAGTCAGAAACCTATGGCCGGTGCTTTGCTGGCATGCTTATGCAATTACATGCTGATGCAGCCAGTAATTAAGTTCAGGAGTAGGTAACCTCGGCACTCCAACTGTTGTGGAACAGCAAGCTGAAAGACTCTGACTGCCCCAAACATGACTTTCAAAGGCAGGGACATGATGGGATTTGTATTTTCACCACAGCTGGAGAGCCAAGCTTGCCTACCTCTGAGGTAGTCCATGATGGAGTCCATCTTGGAAGCAAGCAGAGAAGGGTGGCCACACAGTGTGACCATGTAGACAGAAGGAAGCCACCCTCATAATATAAATTGAAACAGAGAAGAATATAAATCCAGGTTTCAGATATCATAAGGTACAGCAGTGAGTATGGCAGGTTAACCAAACTCACACATCTACCTTTGGAAGTCACGCCTGTGGTTGTGGAGGCTTGCCATGCTTCATGGGGCTTCTAGTTCCACAACAGCTAGAGGGCTGATGTTTGGTCACCCCTGGAGCATGGTATTGAACTCAATAGGGATGCACTGATACCGTTTTTTCGGTATTGAGTACGAGTACCGATATTTTGCTTTTGGTATTCGCCAATACCGAGTACCGATACTGGTGCTTCCTCTGGCATGGAGCCGGCTTCCCGGGAAATAAGGAAGCCAGGCTTTCCAGACAATCAGGAAGGAGCAGGCTTCCTGCCCATGAAGCCGTCTCCATGTTCCCCTACAGCGCTGCCGGTCCCAGTAAATTTTCCGCTGACTGGAAGTTCTGGTATCGGGGAAGGTATCGGAGCATTCGAGTATTCAAATACTCTGTATCGGCAACGATACCTATAGTACGGTATTGGTGTATCCCTAGAATTTAACATTTATATTTGTCTATTGGGTTTAGTGACACATTTTAGCCATTGCTTCTTAGCAAATTTAAAGCATCTCGAAGCATAAGAAAAACTGAGCCCACTCCTTACAACATTCCTTCCTGTGCGCGACTGACACACAAGGCTAAAATGAACACAACTATGCAGCGTGAATGGCTGCAGGTGTTTTGTGGCACCTGTGATCATCCTTATGCTGCGTTGGCTGGATTAGATAACCCCACACAAAAGGTCTTTTTACAGCAAAGGTTGCCGTTCTTCTGGAAACATACTGGAGTCACCTCTTGTGGTCAATTTGAATTTTCTATATGAACGT